CCAGAGGGTGGTAGTGGATGGGTCCTTCTCAACCTGGAAGGACGTGGGCAGTGGGGTTCCGCAGGGCTCGGTCCTCGGGCCCGCACTGTTCAACATCTTCATCAGTGATTTGGACGAGGGGGTGAAAAGCACCCTGTTCAAATTTGCTGATGACACTAAGATGTGGGGGGACGTGGGCACACTAGAAGGAAGAAGCAGGCTACAATCGGACCTGGACAGGTTACAAGGGTGGGCGGATAAGAATAGGATGGGTTTCAACACAGACAAGTGCAAGGTGATGCACCTGGGGAGGAACAACCGGCACCATACCTACAGGTTAGGGAACTCCCCTCTTGTCAGCACGGAGGCGGAAAAGGATCTTGGAGTCATCATTGACTCCAAGATGAACATGGGTCGGCAGTGTGGGGAGGCAGTTAGGAAGGCCAACCGTACCTTGTCATGCATCCACAGATGCATCTCGAGCAGGTCCAGAGAGGTGATCCTCCCCCTTTATGCGGCACTGGTCAGGCCGCAGTTGGAGTACTGCGTCCAGTTCTGGGCGCCGCACTTCAAGAGGGATGTGGACAGCATGGAGAGGGTCCAGAGGAGGGTCACTCGCATGATCAGGGGACTGCAGGGCAGGCCCTATGAGGAGAGACTATGGGACCTGAACCTGTTCAGCCTCCACAAGAGAAGGCTGAGGGGGGATCTTGTGGCCTGTTACAAACTGGTCAGGGGGGATCAGAAGGCATTGGGGGAGTCACTGTTCCCCCGAGCACAGCCAGGAGTGACCAGGAACAACGGTCACAAGCTAGCAGAGGGTAGATTTAGGTTAGACATCAGAAGACACTATTTCACGGTCAGGGTGGCTAGGATCTGGAACCAACTTCCAAGGGAGGTGGTGCAGGCTCCTACCCTGGGGGTTTTTAAGAAGAGGTTAGATGAACACCTTGCTGGGGTCGTTTGACCCCAGTACTCTTTCCTGCCATGGCGGGGGGGCAGACTAGATGATCTTCTCAGGTCCCTTCTGACCCTAGAAACTATGAAACTATCTTTGGCAGGCAACCAGGAGCAGGTAAATATTAATATTCTAAATTTTTTAGGGGCCCTGTGGGCTGGATAGAATGACCTGGCAGGTTGGATCTGGCCCATGGGCTGTATTTTGCCCACCCCTAGGGTAACCTGTTTCAGTGTTTTACTACCCTCCTCTTGAGAAAAATCTTCCTAATATCTTACCTAAACTTCCCTTGCTGCAACTTGACACCATTGCTCCTTGTTGTTTCATTTGCCGTCACTGAGAACAGTCTAGCTCTCTCCTCTTTTGAACCTTCCTTCAGGTAGTTGAAGGCTGCTATTAAGTCCCCTCTCAGTCTCCTCTTCTCTAGACTAAATAAGGCCAGTTCCCTCAGTCTTTCTTCATAAGTCATGCCCCCCAGCCCCCTCAGCATTTTTCTTGCCCTCCACTGGGCTCTCTCCAATTTGTCTACATCATTTCTGTAGTTAGGGGCCCAAAACTGAACACAATACTGCAGATGTGGCCTCACCAGTGCTGAACAGAGAGGAATAATCACTTCCCTTGACCTACTAGCAACACACCTAGCAATGCAGTCCAGTATGCCATTAGCCTTCCTGGCAACAAGGGCTGGATCATATTCAGCTTATTATCCACTGTGACCCTTATGTCCTTGTCTGCAGAGCTGCTGCCCAGCCACTCAGCTTCCATCCCAGGATTGTTCCATCCTAAGTGCAGGACCTTGCATGTGTCACGTGCTTACTGTAGGACACTGTACTCAGCAAGTAAGCTGGCTTATTTTTCACTAGCTTCCACCTCCTGTTGAATTTAAGACTGCTCCACATATCATGCATAGTAACAACAACACAAAGCAGAAGCAACAACAACATGGATTGCAACAGAGATACCTGATTCAGAAATGAGAAAAGTAATGCCACCTCTCTCTTTCTAGATGCAGAGGAAAGAGAAGCTTTAATTGTTTAAGAGTTGCTGTTTGATGGTAACATAACTAGATCGCATCAGTGTGTAATATACTCAAGGAGCTGATATTCTCCAGACAGTCCTTCGGAGGTCAGTATAAAAACTTCAATGTTGTCCAGATTCTGTCTCATCCATCCCAGTACCCACGCATCGTACTTACATAACCCTTCTGTCAGGCACTAGATAGCAGTAATAAGGGCCAAGTTCAATTTAGAGGTTTTACACAAATTTTATCTTTCTTGGCTCAAGGGTTCTGTTCAATAGGGTTCAATAGTTCCCACCCAGAAACCTAGGAAAATAAATGTTACCTGGGTATTCCCATGTGAACAAACTTCCCTGCTCATAAGCAATATTAAACTATGCGAGAGGTTTGTCAAGGTGAGAGAAATAGGCATTCTCTACACACTTCACCCATTTAGGAGCCGTGGAAGCCATCAGAAATGAACAACAGCAACATTCATTTGCATTGCATTTGCATTCTCTTAGAGCACTGAGAAACCATGACACACTATATGAGACTCTATACAATGGGAAAAATCTTATTCTTAGCAATTCTTAATGATGAACTTTACAAATGATGGGCCAATTCATTACTTTATTAAAAAGAACTCCTTGCTGAAATATATTTATCATTGTAAAGCTGGAGTAACCCCATGAATAGAGTCATGGCAGATTTACCCAGGCATACATCAAAATCACAGCACTGTCCCAAATATCACAACTATGGCATTTCATTGGAGGCAGCTGGTATTTATTTTGAGGAATGCAGGCTTTCTTTTTCCCATCAGGACAGGGCATGCAGCATCTAGTTGCAGAGACTGCCTGATCTGATCTTCATCAGCTGAGACAAACAAATTTTTTGCCTGGCAGTCTACACATTATAAATTAAATCTGGCCTTCAGTAGCATTTTCAAATGTGATACCTATCAGCGACCCGCATTGTCTGAACTATAATATTAAAACACCTCCAAAATGCACCAAATGTATAGCTTGTGGCTATGGGAAACAGCAGGTTCTGTACACTGACAGGTGTTGAACCCCCAAGAAGTTGAAATGCTTTGTGGAAATGAAAAGCATTAGGGTAAGTTGGGATTCAGACAGAGATAACTAGTTTGCAGGCATAATGTAGTGCAGGGCTAGAAAGCAGCAGTTGACTAAGTAATTTGCATCAGGGCATGTAACTGAGGCGCAAGCAGACTTGGTTAAATGAATTTGGACAGGTGGGAGTTGCAGTATCAATGAGCATCATACTCTGCAAACTATTCCTTTTTCTGGGAGCCACACATCTTTCTTTATAGAAACAGCTGCAAGGCATACATCATTAATAGACATGAGAGACTACATTTGTCTTGGTGTCTTACTAGCCCACTGGCCATCAGTTTCCAAAAGTGGCAGGAATGCTGTTTCCAAAGAATTTGCTCTTTTGTTCTGTCCTTTTACAAGTATGCAAATCCTTAACAGTATGGGGCCACAGAAATGCATCTAAGTAAATGCACTTTCAAAATTCTAGATTTTCTGTTCCAACTTCCTCCTGTGCATCTACCTGTTCACCGTGCTTTCTGCTATTATGCATTTTCAGTGTAATAGGATGGTGCTGCTGGAAATGGAATTATGTCAAGGTCAAAAGCATAACAATTTGCCCCCTTCACCTTTGGCAGGATACAGAATTTCAATGAGTCTATCATTGAACTTATTTCAATAATCAATATTTGGAATAGAGAAGAGGTAAAACTGGTTAAGATGAGACACTACAGAGTTCTCCATGGCATTATAAGGATGGTTATAATCAAGTCAAATGTAACTCTAATTACTGTCACTCATTGGAGCTAAGGTTTACATATCGTAACTTATATTGTTTTAAGCTAAGCTCATTACCACTAATGCATTACAAACCTTTCTTCTGTACCAGTGTCATTTTAATTACCTCTTTGCATCAGTTAATTATTGCTGGTGGTTTACACAACATAGCAGCTACGGTATTCTACAGACGGAAATATTTGGTGGAGAAATATTTAGATAACGTCTGGCCCAGGGAAGTCCTGGTGGAGCATTTAGATTACTGAATGTTGAGCTGCCCATTTTCTTGTTAGTTTAAAACAGACCCCAAAGGGGCGTTACAAAAAACAGACACCACACGCTGACAATCTCACAGTCTGTTACAGTACTTAGCAGAGCCTGGTTAGAGCCAGCTAATTTTTTTTATTTTAATATTATCATGTAGAAAAATGATTCATTTTGACAAACAGTAATAGAGAAAAAATAACTCATAGATTCAAAGATTTTAAGAGGCCACCACAATCACTTTGGTATGTGCAGATATTCCTGGGACCCGATCTACAATTACACAGCTTACTTCAAGCCACATTGTTGTAGATTGCATCCCACTTGTACAGACGTTCACTGGGGCAGGAAGCCACACCAGGAGAGTGATCTAAGTAAGTCGGGGTGAGGGGAGGGGTGGGCAGGATCAGAGGTAACTAGTGGGTCCACAGTGGGGGACTGGTGGGTCTGTGAGGGGGTTGTTCATTTGTCAGGGGGTTAAAAATAGCTTGGTGGGGTGGGGCAGGAAAAGCACAGCCATGGGGCTGGGGTAAGCAGCTAGGCTGTTCTGAATGTGTACAGACTCATGCTCAATATAACCTAATGTACCTTAAGTAAACTAAGTTAAATCAATCTGGCCCATTTTTGCCCAATCCAGCCTCCACAAACATCTGTACATACTGGCACTGAGATCAACCCTGGTTGGGTTGATCTAAGTGTAATGTCTGCATGTGCCCCTTGTTTGTCCTCATACATAAAACAGCCATAGAATTTGACCCAAGAATTTGGCTCAAGACTATAACGTCTGGTTGAGGTACAGCATAACTCTAGAAAGACATACCATCTTAATTTAAAGGTGCCACCAGATGCAGTATCTCCAATATGTCCTGGTCAGCTGTCCCCATAACTAATTTCTCTCATTTTTAAAAATAGTATACTTCTTCCAGGATGGGTTTGATTTTAAATCATGATTTAGCTCATGATTTAAATCGCTGGTCACAAAGCCTTGATTTAATTGTTGTTTTCTACAAAAAGTGCATTTTTGTTGTTTGATATAACTTGAATACATATTATTCACAACTCAGAGATAAATGTAGGTTTCATTTTTAAAAGGTACACACTATACATTTTAAAGCAGTGATTAATTTGGTATTTTTTCAGATGAATTTTATAGCTACATTAGAAAACTGAATTATGATCTGGTTATTTTACTTACCAAAGCTAATCAAAGCAGATACTTGTGACGTCATGGGGAGGTGAACTATCTCCAATTCATTGGATTGATCATGGATATTTAGGAGATATTTTTGCCACACTGTATTAGAAACATAACAACAACTGTCACCAAAAACCACAAACATTTAAATTGTTTTATTTAACTAAAATAACTAGCTTATGTGTTTTAGATATTTTTCTTCAACAATCATTATTTTTTATTTAATTTTTATTTATGTATAACTATTTTAACAAGCATATGTATTTTTGATTTTTTAACTACTTTAGTTATAAATGTGAAATGTGTTTTGAACAAAAATTAAATAGATTATTATTTCAGCCAGGTCAACATGAGAAACTTAAAATACTGGGTTATGCAGCTAACTCAGTCTTCACCTTCCTCTTCCAGTTTATTCACAGACTGAAACAGAAAGACAAGCTTTCCTGCTTTTTCAGTTCCTAAGTAATTTCTCAATTTAGAATGAATTAATCCAAAGAAATATTCTTTCTACAGCTGCAGAAGAAGCAACTGCTGTTAAATGCCGGATTATCACTTCAGCAGTCTCTTATGGATCCAGGTGCTTAAGTGACTTCCACCAGTCCACTGGTGTGACTTTCTTTAAAACCTCATCAGCAAACATATATTTCTTGAATGTTTCACCCTAGCTCTGTAATTTATTATAGTTGGTATTATGGAAGGATGATTGCTGGATGCCCATATCATAGCTAACTCCTCCTCTTCAGCAATTAAGGATTGACCCTGATACTGAGTATTGAGAATACTGGCAAGAAAATGAGCTGGAGATAGTGCTTAATCCATTTGCTTTTTTAACGCCTGTAATTTAACTCTATCATTGCATATTTCTCTTTTCAAGATCTCACTCTGTTCCTTCTAAATTTTCACAGCATCAGCAATAAAACAGCCTGCACTTTATTAGAGGCTACAGAAACAGGCTTCAGGGTAGGGAGCATACGTTCTACATTTCTCTGTAGCCCAGTGTTGAGAACTTGGGCTGTGACAATTCCAGCTATTTTTTCACAATTTTGCTCACAAAATGTCATCAGACTAGGCCATTTCTCAATATATCACTCAAAACAGTCCACTACTGAGTTCCGCTGCACATCTTGTGGGGGAGTAAGTTTGGTTCCTCCTACTTTCTTCAGAGCAGCTGCTGCAAAGTGGTTGTTACAGAAGTATTTAGCAATTTCAACAATATTAGCCTTTATTTATGGAGCACTGAAGTCTTTGGCTAAGAGGGGTATCAAATGAGTGCTGCAGCCATATGTTATTAGCTTGGAGCTTTATTCACTTTTAGATTTCTTTTTGTCTTATAAATTTTCAGCATTGTCTGTGATAAAGCTGTGTACCAGTCATTTGAATTACACATGCACACCCTTACTGCACAGTAAATATGGCAACTTATGTCAACTTGAGTGTAAATTTAATACCTGCATAATGCAAGTATCAAATTTACATCTGATTAATTAGTTACTGCACTGTAACATGTGTGTGTGGACTGACTTGGGACGAGCTTTAGTCCCAAGTCAGTCAGCACACAGCATTAACATGCTTTAATGCCTGCATATGTAGATGCCAGCCTATTCTCACTTACTGTGCAGTAATTTACTGCGCAGTAAATTTAAGCCGATGTAAATGTACGTGTAGACATGCCCAATTTGTTTTAGCTTTTACTGTTACTTCTTGTAGGTATTCTGCCATGTGTGCATTTCCCAGTGTATCAATTGTTTCTGTAAGGTAGGCAGTCCCTTATTCTGTTGTCACACAAGCACATATTACTGGATTATTGTAGACATTGCTCCACCCATCAAAACTCAAACAGTTAACAATTTTCACCTCTAGACTTTTTCCACACAGTTCCAATTCTTTCTCATACACTTTATCCAGCAATTTGCCCATTCTATCTGCTCTGTTGGGTGGGCTGTATCCTGATCATAGTGATTGAACCATGTCAATGAAGTACGTGTTCTCAACAACACATAAAGGAGAGTTTGTTGCATAAACAAACCAAACAACTTTTTCACCAATTACCTCTTAATGTCATCTGCTGTTTCTTATTAAAAACTTATCTATGCTTGTTTCTGGATGATGGAGATTTTTTTTTCTCTTTGGTACAGGTGATATACTACAGTTGCATCTACACATGCCAATTTAAGGCACTTTAGCCTAATTTAAAGTGTATTAAGGGTGCACATCTATATGTGTGTGCCCTTAATGTACCTAACATGGTGATTTTAGGTTATTTTAGACATGAAAAGCAAAATTGCATTAATGCACATTAAAATGTGTGTACCTTCTAAAAATGAATCCTACATCTATCTCTGAGATGTGAATAATATGTATTCAGGTTATATCAAACAACTAGAATGCACTTTTTGTTAAGACATGTTAAGGCACATTAATGCTGTGTATAGACTGACTTGGGACTAACTTCAGTCCCACATCAGTCCGCGCACATGGCGTTAATGCACTTTAACATATGCGCATGTAGACATGATGCGAATTAAGCTAATGCACATTAAATTTAGGCACACCTAAATGCACAAGTAGAAACAGCCATAGTGACATACATTTGACTGGAACACTGGTATCATTAGCAGATAACTATGAAACTAAAGACAGTGATGATGATGTTGAAGATGGATAGTCAGAATCCAGTATGTTGAGGATAGATTCCCCTGAAGAAAAGGAGTCAATGTAGTCACTACAGTACTGCTCATTTAGTATTACTCTTTGCGCTCAGTACTACTTTAGAAGTGAAACTGTAAAAGGAAGGTCTGCTTATATCAGCAATTATTTTACATCACAACTGCATTAAAAATATGATAGTTCCATAAAGTAAAAACTTTATTTTTGCTCAAACATTTTTATGAGAATTCAGGTAGTCAGAAGGCTATCCAAAACATATGGACAGGGAAGCAGGCAATCCTTAAGAAAGAAGTATGAAATAAGAAAGTTTACTAACCTGGAGATCCTGCATGTTCAGACATGTTCAATTCATCATCTTCAAAGCAGCTTCCTCCTGAAAAGGAGCACTTCTCATGATGTTGTTTCATTCAGGCAACCAGGCCTTGCATTTCTTTGTTGTACTGTTCGCATTTTGCACATGTGCCTGTCTTACCCACACATACAGGAACTTCATTAAAATATTCCCAAACAGGGTCTCTTTTATAGCCTGACAAGCCTGCTACCATGACAGGTTTTCCATTCTACCATACCATTCCCTGACTAGATCTCAAATCAATGGAGAAGCTATACTTAGAAATGTATCCCTTAAGACTTCTGGAATATTCTGCTCAAAATGTTTTTCTTTTGTTTCTGCTGCCACTCCCTCCTTGCATTTATCTCCAGACTCCTCCTCCTTGCCCAGATCTACTTCACCCCCCAACAAACACCCCCCAATCTATAAACTCACTAGGGGGCACCAGCAGGGTTTAGGAGAGACCTTGTTCCCCTGAGCGCCCCCCGGGGTAACAAGGAATAACGGCCACAAGTTGTTAGAGAGTAGGTTTAGACTAGACATCCGAAGGCACTACTTCACAGTCAGGGCGGCTAGGATCTGGAGCCAACTTCCAAGGGAAGTGGTGATGGCTCCTACCCTGGGGGTCTTTAAGAGAAGGCTTGATGTCAACCTGGCTGGGGTCATTTGAGCTTGGTTTTCTCTCCTGCCCAGGGCAGGGGGTTGGACCTGATGATCTACAAGGTCCCTTCCAACCCTACTTCTATGCATCCTCTATTCATTTAACTTCTTGAAACTTTGTACTTTTTGAGAGAGATAGGAGCTTGACTCTGTGGATACAAACTTGCGCAGAGATAATAGGGCTGATGGGTAGGTAATCAAGTCTGTTATCTCTCCTCTCCATATACTGCTGGTAGCAAGGATGTTATCTCTGGAGACACAAATCCACAGTTTGAGAACTGAAATTAAGCATCACAGAGACACTTAAAGGGATCTTCTAAACTGAGCACTGATTCCCATTGGGTAGAGTGGTTTTCCTTAATGTTTACTAATCAATAGAGGCGGCTCTGGAAACCCCATAAGATTGGGAGTCTAATATAGTCCATGGCCTGTTGTGACCTATTTATAAAACTTTTCTAAAAAAGTTACATGAATATATTGTCTCAAATAGTATATAATTAGAAGTTATTAATCCTATTCCATGATGACACCTTTGAGCTTTGACATAACTTAAATTAAAACTATCTTTATATAGGTTTATTTTAAAGCATTTAAAAAAATCATTTTAACAAAAAAAAATACAATTAAATAAAAACAATTTTAAAATAAAAATTTAAATAAAAAAATCCACTTTTTTATTTTAAAAAAATGTTGATTTTTATCCAACCTGGCTTTTTTCTATCCTGAACTCTTTGATATTCACCTTCAATCCAATAGATTTCTTTATGTGTTTGTCTGCTAAATTAGAAACCTCTACTGTCAAAAACCATCTAATA